CCTCCCCTTCTTCCAGTGCCCCCCTCTTATCTCCTGATCAGACTTCTTGGGAGAGTGCATGTGATCAGCACAGGGTGAATCAGCGCTGTTCAGACAGAGGTCTGGGGACCTGCATCCTCCTAGAGCAGAGGGAAAACTCCTCCTACAAGCTTTAACTAGTGCTCTGCTGGACACTGATAGGAGTCACAAGACTGCTCTAACTGCTGATGGGAAATGGTATTTAGCAGTTTATATTTACTAAAATAATTGCATTTCCATGTTGTGTGTACTGTGGGAGACCAGATATAGTGAATGCAGGGTCCTGGGTTTAGTAACACTTTAAGGGAAACCCATAATATGAGATTTATGGAAGGTGTCATTGTTGACCTCTCCTGAAAATGCTATTTGCTTGCCTATCCTGCTTATCCTCACTTTTACTTCCTATGCTTTTATATCTAAAATACATTAAAAGCACTGTAGTTTCCCTTTATGTTACAGGTAGTTGCAGGTGCCATTCCAGCATATCCAGCCAATAAAGAAAAGAACCCCCCCATCACTATGGACTGTGAGCTGTTTTTATCTTGTGTGCAGAATTATAATCCTCTTATAGTTTAAATCTGAATGACACTCCTTGCTAAATGTAATCTGCAACCCAAGCACAAATATCCATTACTGAACTGTGATCAAACATAAACCAACAACATTTTATCTGTAATCTCGATAGATCTCTTCATACCAAATGACTGTGCCCAAAGAACAAAACAGCCAGGGGTTAGGAAATTCTGTGGCATTATTTGTTTAAACGTTAACAAAATAATGAGCTATTCAAAAAGGCAACAGTTGAGGGAATAGGAGAAGTGACAAAAACAAAGACAAAGCCAACAATGTGACTTTGCATAATGGATGGTAAACATCCCTGTGTTCCCCTAAACAGGGACTGTCAAAACTTTGACCAATGCTCAGAGAATCAGGTTTTAAGGCTGTCTTGTCCTGTTTTTAGACCTGAGTTTTAAAACCTAAACTGCCAGAAAGATACTGTGATTGCAGGATGCAGAGATCACCTACAGTTGAAGCATATCTATGCTCAAGATGTAAAATCGCATACTAATTGTCACATTGAATTTCAATTATTTCTAGCCTACTTCTAATGCTCTGAAGTTTGTAAACTTATTTAGTGTAGATCCCAAACATATTCTTTGACATTTACAGTTGTGTTCAAAAGCTCAGAAATTATGAATTCTAAATATACCCAAAATCTACGATTAGAAAAACAAATAAATACATACATCAGCTGGACACCGTACCGATACCAGGCACCTCATACACAGTTTTAAAATAAAATGCAGCGCTCTAGCAAACACAATGAATTAATCATGGTGATAATAATGTATGAAAATTAATAACACCTAAAAGTGTCCATAAATTATATATTCATATAGTGGAATCAAAATAGAGCAGTCCCCAAACTGGTGAGATCAGAAGACTTCCAAAAAGACAGACAATTTGACATCATCCACTCACATGCAAGGCTTACCAGAAGGCATGTGTAACGGAACCAACCCAGACCGCACGTAAGTACTTCCGTTAGAATACCGCTTCCCCGTCTGAACACCGACAACAGACACCACAGCCGACCATACAAAACTAGACGACACCAGTCTGTCTGAACATGGAACTCCTTATTTGAACACAGATACAAGATATATACACTCAGGGGGACAATCCCCCCTCCCTGCATAATGACACAGGGCAGGGCAATCTACATTTAGTAACAAGAGACACACAGTTATTCAAACTTCACACCAGCAGACAGTCCCATCAGGAGGGAGGGCTGCTGGAGACACCCCCCCCACTAAGCTAATACACATAAACACATACATCCCATAATAGTTTGCTCCCAAGCCAGACAAACAATAGAACAATGGGATGCAGCCACATAACATTAAACAATCAACAACCCCCACCTATCTCCTAAACATGTCTACACAGTCTGAGACAAAGCCCACACAATATTAGGACAGATCACCCTGTACCCCTAACAGGCACAGGGTGATTTACACATAAGAGGGATATGGGGAGCTGAGACAGGGGTCTCCCCACCTCTCCAAAGTGAGCTGGGTTCCATTGGCCCCCCACCCAAAGTGACTCCCGTCACAGCATGTGACCCCTACTAAGAGTGGTCAATATGCGCTTTGTGGGATATCATTGGTAACATCAAGGGAAATATACGATACACCCAAGGAAATGATAAATGATCTTCCAATAGATCCAACCGTTTCCAGATACGTTATTGGACTAAGAACTCGTGGCGCAATACATGCAACAAAAGATGTATCTACATAGTGTAAAACCATCAAAGATACAAAGTTTATTGAATAAATTGCACTCAGATGGTGAAAGGCACAGTTCAGTATGTACAAACATAAGAACAGGTCATTCCAGCATCCAAGATGGCCACTGGCCAGTTGCACATGCATGGTAGCGAGTGTGCATACCTCCGCCCTACACATTTCGTCATATATGACAAGCCTTGCATGTGAGTGGATGATGTCACACTGGCTGTCTTTGGAAGTCTTCTGATCTCACCACAGTTTTGGGACTGCTCTATTTTGATTCCACCATATGAATATATAATTTATGGACACTTTGTGATTAAGTTTTACTAATTTTCACACATTATTATCACCATAATTAATTCATTTTGTTTGATATATTTGAGCACTGCACTTTATTTGAATACCAGAAATTATGAAATGTTGGCATTTATACTGAAAATATGGCTGATCGTGTCAAACAACTGTCTTTTATTGAAGGATAGTGATCATATGGAGTCACTTATTAGCACATAGTTGTTTGGCTCCTTTTTAACCACCTCCCACCCGCCATATAGTCCAATGACGGGCGCAAGGTGGTTCTCTCGTTCTGTCCCTCGGACACAGCGGATCACCGATCCACAGAAAGAGCCGAAGATGTCGGCTCGGTCATGAGATCAGCTGTGTCCAATCACAGCTGATCACATGTAAACAGGGAGATGCCGGTTATCGGCATTTCTCTCCTCACGAGCTGTCATGCTGACAGCTCGAGAGGAGAGCCAGTAATCGGCATTCCGCAGAGGGGAAATGTACACGGATTATCAGGGCATTGATGATCAGTGTGCCCTGATGATCAGTGTGGCCACAGAAGTGCCACCTGTCAGTGTCCATCAGTGCCAGCTGTCAGTGCTGAACAGTGCCAGTGCCCATCAGTGCCACATCAATGCCACATATCAGTGCCCATCTGAGCTGCCTTTCAGTGTCACCCATCAGTGCCACCTATCAATGCCAATCAGTGCCACCTATCAGTGCTGCATTCCTCTGCACAAAAGTTGCGCATGGAATGTTCTTCAACTTTCCAGCATTACAATGACCCTAAGCACAAGGCCAAGTTGAACCTCCAGTGGTTACAGCAGAAAAAGGTGAAGGTTCTGGAGTGGCCATCACAGTCTCCTCAACTTAATATCATCAAGCCACTCTAAAAGGCATGAAAGCTGCGCATGGGACACTCTTGGACTTTCCAGTATGACAATGACCCTAAGTATAAGCCTCCAGTGGTTACAGCAGAAAAGGTCAAGGTTCTGGAGGGGCCATCATAGTCTCCTGTTCTTAATATCATTGGGGTACTCTGGGAGATCTCAAACGTGTGGTTAACACAAGATGACCAAAGACTTTGCATTGTCTGAAGGCATTTGCCAAGATGAACAGGCAGCTATATCACCTGCAAGAATTTGGAGCCTCATAGACAACTATTACAAGAGACTGCTCGCTGTCATTGATGCTATAGTGGGCAATACACAGTATTAAAAACTAAGGGTATGCAGACTTCTGAACGGGGGTCATTTCATTTGTTTACTTGTTGCCATGTTTTGTTCTCTGATTGTACCATTCTGTTATGAGGTACAGCTGAAAATGCAACCAATAAGAAATAAAAGAAATGTGTTTTACTTGCCCAATCATGTTATCTTTCAAAATAGTACATACTGTATATTACCAATTCTCCAAGGGGATGTAAACTTTTGAGCACAACTATATTCACTCTGTCCTATGAATAGGCAATACTGTGTCACACATTTCACAAAGCCTGCCCTCTGAACTACAGAGGTGTTGAGAGGAGGAGTTTCAGGAGGCAGAGCCAATACAGGAATCACAGCTTGCAGGCAACAAGGTACCATGGGATATGTAGTCCTTAGAAATTGACCGTAAACAGCAGACATGAAAGTATAAAGAATCCAGGAAATTGTGGAAAGAGATGACCAGCAGATAGACAGAACTTGCAAAGATTTATTACATTAGTTTATATTAGATTGTCTAAAAAAACTATTGCTTGTACTGCTATTTACAATGCTGATATTATAAAATAAAAGTGTATGCTGTGACCATAGACCTCCTTTAACCATGAACAGTCATACAATGAATACTGGAATATGCAACAAACTAGAGATCACAGTAGGTGTATTTATTAGAAAATAATTACAAGAGCCCACAATCAATTAAAAACCGCCCATGTGGCCAAATCTACTCCTAAGAACCTTCTAAGTAGCACAGTGTCCCTGTTGAAATCACATCTGATACATAGGCATTATCCATTGATCATAAAATATCCTTGTCATTGAAGTCAACAGCCAGCTCCCGGTCCGGTTTGAAAGTGAAAGTGATGCGGCAGCTCCATAGCTGGCAATCACTTTCACAGAGTCGGCAGGGCGGTGCCCCCCCCCCCCGTCCCGTCGGCACCGCCCCCGCCCCCCCCCCCCTTCACTCACCTCCTGTGGTTCACAGGCTCTCATGCTCTTACCGGAGGCCAGGAACACAATCCACTGGCTGGGGGGAGAGAGCAATGCACATGCAAACAATGAAGCTGTTTCAGATGCACCATTTCCTGGCCATATGACGTCCTATCAGAACGAGAGAACCACCTTGCGCCCGTCATTGGACTATAGGGCGGGCGGAAGGTGGTTAAAGAAGCACACGTGTCATTATATCACTTACTTTAAGAGCTCCACAAATCTCCACTGTGTCGGCTTCCTCCACCACTGTGATACGGAAATTTGCTGTTTGGAACAAATCCTTCAAGATCTTTCCTTGCTCCTTATTTTTGCAGCCTGGTGAAAAACATTGTACATATGACCTTAAGGTATATATTTATTTTATGTCTTGGACTCATCCAATAACTCATTTTATAGCAGCTTACCGATTGTTGTCTCACAAAACTTTCCATCTGCAACTTCATTGGCAATGTTGGCACCCATCAACACGGTCATGGGGATGTTCAACCTCTCCCGAATGATATCTGATATGAGTCGGAGACCTTCTGGCCCCTCATCTACACCCTGGGAGGAATTAATAGATACTGTTATAACACAGTAATAGACAATCCAACACCTATGCGGAACAAGTAACGCAGCAATATGTTGCTGAATCTGTTGATATCATTGCCATATTTACATCTGATCATGAAAGTTGGGCAGGCCTAGATTAGAAGCTCTAGTATTATGAAGACCGGCTGGTGTGTAAGAGAGCATCTATGGTTTGGCCTGATCCTTTTCTGAGTTTCTTAGCTTTATATGACTATATATAAGTAGGCAATCAAGCCGCGGTTAGTTGTACATAATTGTTATTTGCATACTAAACTTGAATTCTTGAAATTGGACAAAACTTTTCATGTATTCTGGTGTTGGTATGTAGCGCACCCCTGCAAGAGCTGCTGGGGAATTGAGTCCTATTTACCCCCTTAGAGCACACACAGACAGGCTCACAGCATTTTTGGCACTCTTCGACGTGCTCCAGAGAACAGTCTAGGGGTTTCTTTTCAGGTTTTATTGGGACAAATGAACTTGGCTAGGGATTGGGAGCATGGTATAACCCCAGGAATGTAAACTATACAACTTGAGGACTGCTTCACGTCTGGCTGCACTGCACAAACTGTTAGCTGCACTTGCACAAAGAAATGTCCCACTGGATTTCTAGGTTGACTGTGACCTGTACTCCTTCCAGAGTTTTAAAGCTACACACTCCTTTAGCAGTGGGGTTCTCACCTAGCCACAGTATCATCAGTTGCCTCCTGCCAATATCTACCAGGTTCTTCCTAATGAGGGAGATGTAGACTCACACTACAACAGGAAAGCTTGGGGTCTCTCCCACAATTTCCTCCTGGCACTCTCCTGAGAGCTTCCCACCCACGCTTAGTACAGGACTTGGAAATAGAACCCCCCCCCCCAGCTGAGCCTAGCTGGGACCTCGGTGTCTTCAGGCTTGCTCCCTCCCAGAATTCTGCCCCAGGGGGCAGGGCTTCTGCACAGGGGTCTCCTCCTGAAGAACTGGACCCAGGAATACTGCTCCTGCTGCTCAGGCCTCAGACTATTTATGGGATCTCCCACAACTGCTGAGCACATCTCCCCAGGGAATGGCTGGAGTCCCATAAATATTCAGGCTGCAGACTCTGTCTTTCATCCCACTATGTTCTAGATTTCTCTAGAAGACAGAGGGAAGTAACAGAACAGCAGCCAGGGAAACACTGTGCAGCACTAATCAATCCACCCGTGTTCCACTGATCACAGAAGAGCTAAACTAAATTTACCTAACAGCCTACTCTAAACTAGTAGCGTGCTACAGGTATTTCAGCATTTTCTATTTGGGTGGTGTGCACTGCCTCAACTGAACTGAACAAAACTGGATATCAGACTTGATGGTGTGTTATGTTCAGAAACACTCCAGGCTACATTCACACTTGAGTATCTGCCAGTTTCTTTATACAAAAATTTTTTTGCGTGTTTGTACATATGTTTTTTACATGTTTCAGGCTTAAGTGGTTTTGTTTTAGCCGGTGGAAAGATAGTCAATAGGAGGAGGAGATGGCTGTAAAGTGTGAAGTCATGTGAAAAATATGTGTTTCACGCATTTTTCAGGTGCTCCCACTAAAGTCTTTTGGGGCTAAGACTGTATGATCATGTTCCAAAGAAGCTCCTGAACATTTTTGAGCGATAATCGGTAGCACGTTAATGGACGCAATAAAATATCATTAAAATCTGAGTGTCAAGCAATGAAGCACTTCTGAAAAAATGCTTCAAATCACTCAGGAGTTAATGGGGGTGGGGGGGGTCAGGTTTTTTTTTTTTACATATGTAATAGAACCTCAGCATGCTGTTCCTTCCTGAACTTTATAGCATGGTCAACTATAAACAGAAAAGGTAAATCTAGGGCTGGAACGGGAGCGAGGAAGATTGCTGGTTGCAGCAGGAGAGAGGAATAGGGTAAGTATTCCTCTACATAACACCCCCCAACTAAACAAGTTATAATTCATGAATTTCCAGGCCTCATTCACAAAAGTGTACTTAAGCGTATACCCATGTGAGGGCTGCGTTTTGCCTACACAGGATGTACAAGCGTTCTGTGCATCCCTGTGCGTGAAGTTCCATTCGGGACAACTGGGGTGATGCAGCAGCTGTACAGACACCTGTCCCAGTTTGGCATCCATGTGGATTCGTGTTCCTGAACGCGGAGTGTGAGTTCAGGAACACGCACCCCAAATGGATGTCCAGGTGGGAACAGAAACTGCTCCCATACAGCCGCTGCATCCCAATTAACATGAATGGGACTGTGTTCATGTGGATTCATGGAACACCAGTGTACAGGCAAAACATGACCCTCACATGGGTATAGGATTACATACACCTATGTGAAGGAGGTCACAAGGCCATAGTAGGGGAGGGGGCTTGGGGGGGTACCCTAATTAAAAATGTATATTGCTGATCAGAATTCATCTTTAAAATGGAAAAGAGAAATACATTTACTTTTGTAACCAACCTCTTTTTTCAGAATGCTAGTCTGCCAACCTTATCTCTGTCTTCACGTCTTAATATGTCAAATAACTAGAACAAATACGGGGCTGCACGGCTGGCGCCAGCAAAAGACTCCTTAGGGTGCCAGGATGTGGCGGGGAATAAAATCCGATACCCAACAAAGTGCACCTTTGCCTGTCTAAACATCCCCACAACAGGCCTGTGTGGCTGGGAAGTTGCAGCTTCTGACCTGCATGCTTGTTATAAGTCACTGAGCTGGAACAGATGCTACAAAAGTCCATAGCTGTCCTATTTTGAAGAATCCTCAGCCAAGGCCAGATCCTAACCTTCTAAAGAAGGGGGGCCCCTATGGCCCCAGGAACATGTTGGCTTAGTTTGTTGAGTGCAAAAAAATGTATTCAGGACTTTTACCAGTGGAGTGGCACTCTTATTCTTTAATCCTCTTCCATGATTTCAGGGACCACTCTTAAGGGTGAGCTGTTAATCTCCACGCACCTTCCACCATAAATCGCAACATATCAAGCAGTCTATCACTCCATACTTTTACTATTATCCTGTCCCAATTACAACTGTGCCCCCCCAAAGTTCTTGTAAGAGTGTCATACGGACAGGAAGTGAGGAGAAAATTTTCTCAATGGGGTCACAGACAGAAACTCTTAACTCTTCTCCATTGAGTTAGGCTTTAAAGTGTTACTAAACCCAGGACCCTGCATTCACTATATCTGGTTTCCCAGGCCCTGCATTCACTATATCTGGTTTCCCAGGCCCTGCATCCACTATATCTGGTTTCCCAGGCCCTGCATCCACTATATCTGATCTCCCACAGTACACAGAACATGGAAATACAATTATTTTGGTAAATATAAACTACTAAATACCTTTTCTCTCATCAGCAGTATATAGTGACTTCTATCAGTGTCCAGCAAAGCACTGGTTAAAGCTTGTAGGAAGAGTTTTCATTCTCCCCTGATTGTCCAATGAGGCTTCATGACCCCTGATCTCTGCCTGGACAGTGCTGATTGGCCATGTGCTGATCACATGCACTCTCCCAAGAAAAAAAAAAACCTCTCTAGCAATACACACCAAACTGACCATGTGCAGCTTGCCCCCAAGGCTCTGTTCTATCAGCAGATGGATTGGGGACAGTAGAAGAAGGGGAGGAGCAGAGAAGACAGGGTCAAACAGCATTTTTACACAATGCCGAGGATTAACCCCTTAGGTTCCACAGTGAGTATAACAACCATGTTTCACTGCATATACAGACTGATTTTACTGTTGTGGGTTTAGCAACACTTTAGGTCTGCTTGCTTGCTGTTGATGGCTGCAATTTGTACACTGCTGTTTGCCTAATGAAATAATCCTACTGAGGTGTTGCAGGATTGTGAAGTGAAATGTGACTCTGTTGGGGTCTTCAGCTGGAAAACATCTTTGAATAAAACTAAACCTGAAAGAAAAGTTTTCAAATGCTGTATAGACAGTGCACTCTCCAGCCACTCAATAACATTCCATGATATAATGATAGCACACAGATCAGAGGAACATCACTCTCACCTTTATGAGAGACACGCCAAACGCTCCTTTCTTTACATGAGATTTCAGCTGATCACATAATTTCCCAATGAACTGATGAGGGACGACAAAGATGAAGATATCGGCCCCGGCCGCTGCATCCAGCAAATCCGGCACAGCCACCTGACAAAAGAAACATATCAAATAATGACTAGGGGCAACAGCTGGAATCACAAAATAAAACTAAAATGTAACCTACCATTCAATGCATGAAAAGCAAATTTACAGAACCCCCCGAAACTTTAAAAATGATGTTTGTGCCCCCCCCCCTCTTCCATTACATCTTCCTTACTGATAAGTCATACTAAAACAGGCAGAGAAAGCTCCTTCTGCAGCATGTTCCCATTGCTGGCTATTGAAGTCTGACAGCTGGTGCTGCCAGCCGTCCGAATGCCCAAACAGTGACCGTCTGGTAAGTTGCATTCAGGGTTTGGCCAACAGTTTACTGTCCACTCCTTCAATCTGCAGACTGAAGATTGTCGAAACAGGTGCAGACAAGGCCAACCACTGATCGAATTTCAGCAGATTCAGATTCAGGAAACTAATGAAATTTCTTCTGTATACAGCCAGATTTAGTTCTCCCGTGGTTCCCTAAGGAACTACAAGTCCCAGCATCCACTGATAACCTCTAATGCACCCCATCCTGTTCACCTCTGGTCTTGAGCACAAATTAATAAGGGTTTAGGACCGTGATGGTCAACTTTAAATAATAGGGAGCCCCAATTGCGGCCACTGACACTTCCCAGGGGGCCCCAAATAGTGGTGCATTGAGGTACCTTGAGTTGAGTTTGGAAGGTCATTCAAAGCAAATGGGTAGTAATGCCTAAAAAGATCCATCCTGCTGCACCACAATGCACACTGAAGAGAACGTTGTAGCCATTGATGTCAGTGACCACAATAATAATCCTCAGCATTGGTGGCGTGGTATTACCCACCTCCCTCTTACCCCCCAACATTGGTGCCTAATAGCAGAAACCTAACCCCCTCTCCTCCATTAGTGTTTTTAATACACGCCCCTCCTACCTAATGCACTGCTTGTCAGTGCAGTGGTTTTAACTCCCCACCCCATCCCTCCCCTGTGGCATTGGTGGTTAGTGTAGTGTTTCTTACCCCCCCCCCCTTCACCTTGGTGATTGGAGATAGTTTTTTTTTTTTAACCCACTCATATTACTGCCAGGATTTTTTGCACCACTCTCTTCCCCTAGTGGTGGTTAGTGGCAGTGTTTTTTCCCTCCTCCACCTCCCTTTCCCCCTGTATTGGTGGTCACTACATTGTGTTCTTTTGACCTCCCTCCTTTTGTGCATTGGCAGCTAAATGTAACCTTACCTCTTCACTTGCTGCTGCCATCTATAGTGCTGGGCAGAGATGGCTAGCCCAGGGCACATTAGTGGGCCACGTGGGCATTACGGCTTTATGAGTATGGTTTATTTTTATGCTGACCTAGCCCAGGGCACATTAAGCCGCACACAAGAAGCCAGCAAGCCGCGTGTTGGGCATTACGGCTTTATGGAGTATTACATGCACTGAAAGTTTATTTTTCATTGTTTTCTCATCAGAACTGTTTGGCCTGGCCTGCTCTCTCACTGATTCTGAGTGTCAGCAAAAAATAGAGTCCCTCAAGAGTTGGTTCTGGCCAGCTCAGTGGATTGCTTTAAAAAAGGCCTGGATTGTTTCTTAGATACACAGAATATAACTGGATACTAACATTTATAGGTAAACGTGATCCAGGGAATATCCGATTAGGATCCGAATAGCCTCTCAGGGGATCAGGAAGGAATATTTTCCCCTGCAGGTGCAAATTGGATCATGCTTTGCTGGGTTTTTTTGCCTTCCTCTGGATCAACTGTGGGTGTACGATTATAACTTTTTTTTTTTTATATGGTTGAACTGGATGAGTTTTTGTCTTTTTTCAGCCAGACTAACTATGTAACTATGTAATGTGAATGGGGTCTGATTCTCAACCAGTCAAGGACAGAAGCAGTAAACAGCAGGACAGAGACATGATTATTTCATAAAACACAGCACCTATTGTTTGGGTAAAAAGTAACAATCCTTGAACTCCAGCCAAAATTTCCTGTATCTAAAGCTATTTTTTTTATCCATTTTGGATAGAAGAGGGGAGGATTATAACAGCTGTCAGGTTGTTGTTTTTTCTTTTTTTTTTTTACTAACAGTGGGGTGGGTTTACTAAAGGCAAATAGAATGTGCACTCTGCAGAGCTCAGTAGTTAACATGAAGCTTCACGTTGCAAACAATACCCAATCTCATGTAAGGAAAATGAAAAAAAAAAAAAACAGCATTCTGCTTGCATATGATTGGATGATGGAAGTCAGCAGAGATTCCCCTCATTTACTAGTGAAATAAAATAAAAACCTTTGTGCAATCACCTATAATAAATAAATGATAAAACTCCTAAATGGAACTAAAAACTTATCAAAATAGTTTCTGCCATGTCCGAATATGATCGCACCACACAATTTTATCAATAAACAATATATATCAATATAAATAAGCGCTACATTCAAAAGATCACAGTCCTTATATCTAATAAGTTCTTCTAAAGGCGGGAATACACGATTAGAAAATCGACCGACTGGTCATCCAACAACTGAGAGGCGTTTGTTTGTTGTTTGAAATCGTGGCCCACATTAACCAATCTAAAAAATCGTTCGTCGGGCAATACGTAGTGTTGACGTCTTCCATACAAGTGGAAGTGATGCAGTGTGCATGTGACCTTGTAGCCACGCCCTTCCGGCCAGAACGAGCGATATACACAATTACCAGCAATGAGTATAATATAGTTTATTACATGACCTATATACATAAATAGTGATACATAAAATATAATCTGCAGAATTCTGGTTTCATTGTCTCATTAGGCCAATCTACTTTTAACATTTGGATTTTTCATTTGTGTTTACGAAGATTCCTTGGACATAAACATCCGGGTCATCTTCTGTTTCCACTCATGCGAGATAGTGCTTGATAGATATTTTTTGTACGACTGTCATACTAACGCATAGAAAATTGGTCGTTCGTATGCGAAAGGACAAAATATTTCTTTGTTGTGCAACCAAATTTTTTCGTTCACAATATTGTTATTGGTTAAAATATCCTTCACGTCAACGAAGAGAAAATCGTTTGATCAGGGGTTCCGCAAATTTTTTTGCACAATTTTCTTATCGTGTGTACGGGGCATTATTATTATTATACAGTATTTATATAGCGCCAAAGGGTATGCTCAGCGCTGTACAGTAGCAAGCGGGACAGAACATGAGACAAGACAGTAACAGTACAATACACGAGGGGTTCGAGGGCCCTGCTCTTTCAAGTTTACAATCTAGGAGGGAGGGGAAGGTGGTACAGGAGGAGATGGCTGTGGGGGATGGAGTGGTGGGTGGAGTGGAGGAGGTTAGTTGTTAGGTGAGGTTGGGGTAGGCCTCCCTGAAGAGGAGGGTTTTCAGGGTGCGCCTGAAGGTGAGGAGGGTAGGTGACATTCTGATGGATTGGGGTAGGGAGTTCCATTAGTATCCAAACAGTTTATTAGTCCCATCCAAGTGCACAAAACAGGTAAATGTGATATCACCGCCTTGTGCGATACCGCCACCTTCAACCTCTCACCTTATTAATAACCTCTACTAGTAACTTCGGTCTAATTGTGCCTTTAACCCTTTGTTCCCTGGGTTATGGGGATAGTCCTCCCGAGGGGTCGCACTATTCGCTGGTTCAAACCATTCACTCCATGGAACCCTGGTTAAGAAATGCTGGTTTAAACATATGTGTTCTATTTTCTATTGTGAATATGAGATTTGCAAATTGCTGCATTCTGTTTTTCTGTAGATTTTACACAGCGTCCCAACTTTTTTGAAATTGGGGTTATATCTCAACTACCTGCATGGAGTTTGCATATTCTCCCTGTGCCTGCGTGGGTTTCCTCCGGGTTCTCCAGTTTCCTCCCACACTCCAAAGACATGCCAATAGGTTAATTGGTTCCTGTCTAAATTGGCCCAAGCACCTTGAGGGGAGGGACTGATATGAATGTACGATATATATGTAAAGCATTGCATTAATTAATGGTGCTATATAAGTACCTGTAATAAATAAACAAATAAACACACATACAGTTGTGCTCAAAAGTTTGTATACCCTGGCAGAAATCATGACATTTTGGCATTGATATTGAAAATATGACTGACCATGCCAAAAAATGCGCTTTTATTGAAGGATGATGATCATATGAAGCCATTTATTATGAAATAGTTGTTTGGCTCCTTTTTAAATCATAATGATAACAGAAATCACCCAAATGGCCTTGATCAAAAGTTTACATACCCTGGAATGTTTGGCCTTGGTACAGACACACAAGGTGACACACACGGGTTAAAATGCCAATTAGAGGTTAATTTTCAATATCTGTGGCTTTTTAAATTGCAATTAATGTCAGTGTATAAATAGTCAATGAATTTGTTAGCTCTCACCTGGATGCACTGAGCAGGCTAGATACTGAGCCATGGGGAGCAGAAAAGAACTTTCATATGACATGTGTAAAAAGGTAAAGGAACTTAATAAAAATGGAAAAGGATATAAAAAGATATCCAAAGCCTTAAATATGCCAATCAGTACTGTTTAGTCACTGAAGAATTATCTTGATCTCTTGATACTAAGCCAAGGCCAGGTAGACCGAAAAAGATTGCCACAACTGCCAGAAGAATTGTTTTGGATACAAAGAAAAACCTACAGGTAACCTCAGGAGAAATACAAGTTGCTCTGGAAAAAGACGGCGTGGTTGTTTCAAGGAGCATAATACGTCGATACTTGAACAAAATGAGCTTCATGGTTGAGTTGCCAGAAAGAAACCTTTACTGCGCCATTGACACAAAAAGCCTGGTTACAACATGTTTGACAACACCTTAACACACCTCACAGCTTCCGGCATACTATCATATTGAGTGACAAGACCAAAATAGAGCTTTAAGGTCAAAACTAAGTGCCAAAATAAGAGCTATGTTTGGAGTGCCAAGAAAACAATCTCCACTGTGAAGCATGGTGGTGGCTTACTGATGTATTTTGGGTGTGTGAGCTCTAAAGGCATGGGGAATCTTGTGAAAATTGATAGCAAGAT